TTAACACACTGACAAGACCTGGGCAGCAATCCAGACTTCCAAGATAAGAAATATACTTGAGAGCTTCTCCAGCGTTGGTATAAATAGTTGAATCCTGCAAACAGCCTCCTCCCAAAGTCTCTCCTTATATACTCTCTTGGGAGGAGCCTAATTATAACCACCTGGGTCCAATTATCTTCTGTATCTGCGTAGTTGCTCTCAGCGTTTATCTGCCCGCTTTTGTCTGGCATCTGGGACCAACTCCCTTATCTCCTCCCCACTGCTCCAAGGCCTGACGTCATGGGCACACTCCCTTTGGCTTTCACTCCATGCTTCAGGCGCCTCCTGGTGGCCAACCAACCTCTTTGGTCCCTGCTCGGAGTCAGAACCCTGTCCAGGGTCCTCCACATCTTCCAGAGCCGACTCATAGGGTCCCTCGCTATCGGAGTCTGTTTGCAGCTCCAATGGCTCCTGCTGGGCCACAACATAAAACTATATTTAAAACTTCTGCTTTCTCCAGCTTTGGGTTGAATGTTGCTTAAGATATTTTTCACTTTTCCAAAGTTCAGTTGCACTATATTCAATTCACTAATGACCAAGATTGCTTGCAATGAAGGTGCAAAGGAGTGCAAACCTTGGCCCTGATAAAATAATTAATGTATCATAAGACAAGGGTGGGTGGGTTAACTTAAGTGAGATTTCTATTGGGGAGGAGAGCAACATTTGTAATATATCAGGTACAACATCACAATCTAAAAGCCACTTCCTTGGGTTCATTGCCTTATAGTGAGGGATGAGACTTGGATTATCACACTACGCTTGCCACATTGCAAATTTGGGGCCATGACCCAACACCCCTGATCTGCTTATCTCTAAAGCAGTTATTTTCACTTTTGTTGCATTTGACATTGACCAATGTACTTAATGTAGAGTCAGACATAAAAACATATTCTTCCAGAAATTATGCACACATAAAAATTCAGGCCTATTGAAATACATTGATGTATGTATTTATGTGTCTATTGAAAAATTGCACCTTAAATGTTACCTTTCCTTACTGTTTCTGATATAGATTTTTCCTAAAATCCATTCGCAGTTAATCCGTGTTTGGAATGGGAAACATGGAAGCATGAAAACCATCTCTACACCAACTTGATTCAATGGAAGATATTTAATCATAAAAAGAATAACTAATTAGTACCATTCTTTCAATTCCAATTAAAAATATATATGAATAGCTTCTATCTTAATGAAGCAATCAAATTCTCCGTTTACAATGTTTGCATTTCTTTGCTCAGAAAAGTTGACTTGCAAAACTTTTTCTCATTAAAAGCTCTTTAATAATTTAATAATCAACTTCAAGTAGACCCATTGGTACTTATTAAGAGGCTTCAATACATAGCTATTGTTTAAGAACTATTTTAAAAAATGTAATCTCAAGAGAAAAGACTTCAGATAATGAGATTCTCTGCTTTTGGGAAATGGTTGCTTTCTGAAGAAAGTTCAAGAAGCTCTTGAGATATTTTGAAGTCTCAGGTGCAGACTCTCAAAAGATTTAAATATTTATGTTTGATTGGGCTGCATTGCTAGAAAAATATTAACTATAGGATAATTATCCATGCTATTATTTTTCAGCTAAGAAGAGACACATGTCTCATAACAAAACCTAATAGGTTATTTTCTATCACCTTATTATATAAAGTATCCATATATTATTTTCAATTTCCAATTATAAATATAAGTGGAATTTATAAACTTTTGATTAGCTCCACTTCCTCCTCCCCCCCCCCTATAACTTTCCCAATGCACATACACATCCAACTTGGAAAATTAGGGGGGGAAACTGCTGAAAGTGAAAAACAAGTCTTGGAAAATGGCTGAATAACGTGGATAATCACTTTTAATGCACTTTGATGATGTACAACCAACTCATATAATCCACAACAAAAATATTTTTATGGAGGAACTCGTAGATTGGTAATAGCGCCATGTTAATTCATGAGTTTAGAGGGCAAAATTCTGCCACAGTTGATTCGGGGTGGTGGTGGTGATATTCTGTTTGTTGACATGAAGGGAGGAGTGGAAGAGTGCCATTTTGGGACATTTAGACACCCAAAATAAAAGAATATGGTAATTAGTCAGTGTTTGCTTAGTCAGAACATCTCTACTTTTCCAATATGTGGCTTAACCAGATATGTATTGATTTGTACATTAGGTAAAAGAGTGAATATAAAATTTAGATAATGAAATTGAGACAATTGCTGATGGATAGATAGGTCATGAGAAGTTTTGAATATGGAATAAGCCATTTCTTGGTAAGCATCAAGAGTGGATCTTGGGAGAATTGGGTACAAAAGGGAAAGAAACTAGAGTGAAAATAGAACTCCAAGAAGTAAAAATATGTTTTGTATAATTATTTTCCAAAAATGATGGGGCAAGCTGACAATGAGAAAACCCCCAACAAAAGTACTTGTGCTTTTAACTCTTTTCTTGCCTATAAGACTCTCTTCCCTTCCTCTCTCCATTAAGTCCTTGTTTTTCTTCTTTCCTTGATCAATGAAGATCTGTTAATTACCTGAGTCACTCCCTCCTGTCCATTATTATAAATTACTCTGCAGCGTACTCTACATCAGGATTCTCTTGAAAGCCACCTAGAAACTTCGACTGGTTCAGAACACAACAGGATGCACAGTAATGATAGCCCCTAGGTTTGCCCATGTAACACCTCTATTGTTATCTATATGTGCTGGTATGTGCATGTATGTGTGTTGGGTGTGTATGTAAAGTGTGTTGAAGCAGAATAAAAAGCATAAAGGCTTTTGTATTCTGGTGTTGGAGAATACACTTGAGAATACCATGAATAGTCATAGACCTGTGACAGTAACCAATGAGTTTCAGATGAGAAAAGGTCATAAACTGATTAACTGATTGGACCTCACTCAAAGGGAAATCACTGCCAAGCTTGGTTTTTAACAGGAATGTATGAGCCACATTGTTGATGTTCTTCAATACTGAAAGGTTTGTACAAGAAGGGATCCTCTCACATTGATGGCAGAGATGAAAGCTGCAGGAGCTGAAATTTACCAGCAACTGTTTCTTCACAGCATTTTGAGAGTTGACAAAATATAAGCTCATCATTGTGACTCAAAAAATGTTATCAGTCCATTGATTATTATTACTGTAGAAAGATTCATCTGTGAAAGGAAATGGTCAGACTTCAGGTTTCAGTAGACAATATAACAGTAACAATTATTTGGAACAGGGTTAGCATCATTCACATGGAGTTCCTTGACCCAAAGGTTTGAATGTTGCAGTGTAGTGGCTCTGAACTAGTAACAAAGATTAGGCAGAGTTCAAAGAAAACGTTATTACAATAAGCAACACTAGGCCTCACACATTATGCAACACCCAAGAGACACTTGTGATGTTGGATCTCATCATCTTGCCCAACACACCATATAATTCAGATTTGGTGCCATGCCATGCAACTTTTACCTTTTCTCAAAATTGAAGACGTACCTTTGTGGACATCTGTCTGACTTACATGGAAAAGAGGGAACAAGATTTCAGGATCTGGTTGAAGAGACAGAATGTGGAGCTGTATAAAGCTTGTCCATTATGGGCAGAGGAATATAGTGAACAGCAGTGATTATGTGGAGAAGTAAATACACGAAACAAAAAGAGAGCATTTTATGATTTATTTTCTTGTTTCGTTTATTGACATATCCTTTTTAAGCTAAAGATAATAGAGGTGGAGACATTTATATGTTCATTCTGGATGGATATATTGTGGATATATATATTAATATTTACTACTAAATGAATATTAATATTTGACTATTTTTCTACAACTTTCATGACGCAGCCAAATAAATAAATCAATGGGTTACATCGTTTTTTCATTGTCCAAATGCCTCTTTTCATTTCCTATCTTCTGTGCTCTGCTTTAATCATTTTGAAATAACAAGCAGCCAAGCTAATTATTTGGGGGGGAAATGCAATCTTCTGGGATTCATAAAAAATATGAGAAGGATATAAATTAATGTTGATTTTTTTCCTTCTAGGTTTTTCAATATTGCATCAACATTCTCTCTTATGATATTATTGGAAAGAAAGAAACCAACTTTGCTCATCAAAACAAAAGAATAGCCATTATATATTTCTTTTTTAAAATATTATAAGTGTATTATTGCAAATGTAGTCAACAGATGTAAACTATAAGAACTGATAGCTGAAAGGAAGAAAGCAGCCAAGCGAGATCTCACGTTAATATAATGAGGCAATATTCTGCTCAAATGACTAATAAAGAAAGAAAAAAACATTGTGAGAGACAGGTGAAAAAGAACAGAGATGAATGAAGGTAAGGTATTATATGACAAACAATCCAGGACTGAATCTATATAAACAAAAATCTTATGTAGCTTAATCTGAATTTAAAACTTGTTAATTTGCTATTATCTTCTGTTCTGTCAATGTAATGTTTACATACATTCATGTAATTACATTGGAACCTTCTGGTAGATCTCTAAGTGTTCAATAGTTTAGTAGAAGGTTTAGGCTCAGAATTGTTTAACAATAACCACAGAATGACTTCCCCTAAACTATGTTGTTGAAACAAGGGAAATGTGGCATAGTTAGGAGAGTTGTAGCAAGGAAAGACTGAGCAGTCCCATTCAAAATTTATACTGAGAGCGAAGTCCTGGATTCAGAAATCTTGAATTCTACTTCTGCACCTCACTCTGGCTATGTAATTACACAAGTCAACTGTTTTGCACAAGTCAAAGCTGCTTGCATTTTATTTTGCAGATAACAACAGAGATGGCTCTTCCTTGCTTTCATGTCTCTCTTTATGTATATCACTCGGGTCTGTAAAATGAAATTACTTCCCTGTATAGGTTTTCCTGACAGCTGATTTGCTGTCAGCTAAAAACAGAACTTCTATTTTCATTTTCTGTTTCCATTGCCTCTTTTGTAACTCAGTGTCAAGACAATCATTGTCTTGATGGTACACATGCAGCAGTGATCAGAAAAATGACTTTTGCCTGGCATCAGAGGGTGGAAAATATTTGCTGTGGCTGCAGCAGAGATGGATACCCCTTGCTTGGTAACTTTATCCAATATCTTTAAACTTCTTCTTGTGCTCTTGTTCTATATCCCATTCTGTTGCACAGTAACCAGAGTTGAATAGATTTTTCTTTTTTAAAAAAAAAGTCTGGAATCATGAAGGCAGCTGAATAATCACTTAAAATTTCTGTCTCCTTTTTCTTTTTCTCTGTAGGGAGCAAATTCCCATTTGTGATTACTCCATTCAGGAAGGCAGTGAAGGGGAAGAAATGTTTTATGCTTGTTATTTAAATGTGTGACAGCTGCTCATTCCAGTAGATTGTTTGCAGCTTACAAAATCCAATTCGTTTGCTTCTTTATTCGAACTATTCCTATAGCTGTCCATCTTATGGCTAGAAGGACTCTAGCTGGCAAACAAGCATTAAAAACTGAAACAAAGGCACAGTTTAAATCACAGATACTGTAAAAATAGCAAAATAAGTGTAACCGTGTGCATCGGAATATTTTGTGCGGTTGTGTGATTGCGATACTTCAAAAAGGATATAGTGGTGCTAGAGATGGTTCAGAGGAGAGGTGGGTTGCTCCTGGTTTTACTACCAGTTTGCTTTGTGTGTGCACCAGACATGGGCTGCATGTGCATGTGCAGTTCAATGTAAATTGTTCCTTGTGCATGCGCAAAACAATTTACAGTGAACTACACGCACGCGCATACTACAACATGCCAGCAACGACAGCAGGGACCAGGAAAATGGTTCTGGGGCGTGGCCAGCCTGGGACGCTGCCAGTTCTGTGACCCAGGCCAAAAATCCACTACCACTTTGGCCGAACCGGACCGAACTGGGACCAACCCACCTCTGGTTCAGAGGAGGAGAACTAGGTTGATGAAGGGGCTGGACAGCTTCCCATTGAATAAAAGTTGTGGCATTTGGGTTTTTAATTTATAAAGGAGGCAAATGAGAAGCGTACAGCACTATGCCTGCAAGAAAAGCTACAGCAATAGCAATAGCAGTAGACTTATATACCGCTTCATAGGCCTTTCAGCCCTCTCTAAGCGGTTTACAGAGAGTCAGCATATTGCCCCCAACAAT